CGCGAAATCTGGACACCTGCCTAAAGTTGCTCAAATAAAGCGAGACGCTGTCAAAAATGATTGAGTTGAGACATCAGAAGCACTGAAGAGGTCAGTGCTTAGTCTACAGATTGTACGTGAACAACTTTTCTAGGGAAGTTCAAACAACAATAACGAAGAAAGAGACGACGGCGTTCTCTCACGAATCCGTTCCGGGTGAAACGGTCAACAAGTGTAGGTGTGTAATTTTGCAAACCTTGATTCATTATTATTACTGAGGCAGGAATAATTCAAATAAATATAAATTGTTTATTTTAGATTATCATCCAGAAACCTCAATCGAAAGAAAAGGATTCTTGAAAAGACCATCCTTGTGGATCAGGGATTGATTCCTCATCCGTTGTTACTGTTTACTGTTGTGTATATGCTCTACAAATGTTCTTTTTTCTATTCCGAAAATACTGATGCCCTGAGAAATAGCAGGCGTCTTGTTCGCAGCCTGTGCTTATAATGAAAGAATTCATGCATGATGTCCTTGCCATTTCCACCGATGACGCTGATTATCGCTATTTTAACACATCGACGACAGCCCCTTGTGCGCGTACCTCCCCACCTTTTGTTTGTTTATTTTTTTCACAATCATCATAACTTTTTCCAATGTTTCCACTACTGGTAACTGATCCACGTTTTCGGACGAGATAGTGCATGCATACAGTTTTGAAATATGGAAAATGCCATATAAATCGAAAAAAAAACTACTCAGAATCAGGTGAAATTGAGGCGAGCTAGCGCGACTGTAACCCCTCTTTCACTGCGTATGCCTATCGTCCGCTGTGCTCACCTTCACTTCTTAAAGGCACAATTCGCGGATTGAAATGATGCGTTGTTCTGTTCAAGCATTAGGCAAGAGGAGCACATGAACATCAGTTGAGTGCGAAAAAGCAAAAAAGCACCATTGTACGAATCGGTGACCGTGGGGGGCGGAAGCGCACGTAACCTGAAGAGGAACGCGTGAGCTTCCTAAGCGCGAACCCCTAGGGACACAACTCCCAAAACCCTTGAGGCTAAGTGCTTCGCATCAACCTCTACTTTACTTGGGCATCCAGCCCTGATCGATACGTGAACTATGACCCTTAGCACATGGCTACACCTACTCCACCACCATCCTTCTGACACAAGTTGGAAATCAATAAACTGTTAAATACCTTGTAAACTAGGACTACACCTTCCTACAACTAACAACACACATAAACGTATCTTTATGGACTACTCGTTGTTCACCTAACGTCAGCTAAGTGTACACTTAGAGGTTAGTAGAAAGAGAACTCACGTCGGGTCTCTACCTCGGACCCGTCAGGAGACCAACTGCAGAGGAAGAATTTAGATTCCAGATAGAGGTCCAGTATATAATGTCCAGGTTAGTTCTAAGGGCCCAAAGCCCTGCGGGGCTGCAGCGAATGTTGAGAAGAAGACGAGTGGATTGGCCCGTTGAAGAGACGAGAATGGCACCCGGGAGGGATCGTGATGTTGCTGTCGATAACAGCACCGCACGTTGCCGCGCGATCACGAAGACAGTAGATAGGGGTCATGACGGCAACTCGCCCGCAGGCACCGGCGCACCCGGGGATTCCCTTGGAGCGATCCTCGCGATTCGCGACAAACCATGAAATCCACTAAATTTCCCTTAGAGGCGGCCGTAGTACGGAGAGACACAGCGCTGCGAGCGAGAGGAAGAACGCGAGATAGTACGTCGCAGAGACCACGTATGCCGTGGTGGATTACGCTGGCAGCGCGGGCAGCGCGGCGGGCAAGGCCTTAGCGCCATTGCCGCGCACTTTTGGGTCGCGATAGTGTCGCGCCCTCAGTGCTTGGGGAGCCCACTATCGCACCCTGGGAAGAACTTCTGCTGGTTGCCTAATCCTGACTCGTGGCTTTAAACTCAAAACTTCGTGGGAACATGCATACGCCCCAAAAAAAAGTACTTATCGGTGATATGGTCGGGTAACCAGGGTCAAGTGTGCGTTGAGGAATCCTCGACACGTCGCAGGGGGGGGGGGGTCGTATTGGCCCGCTGGGAGGAAGGGATCGGGCCGGATTGATGCACCACTGTCGGAGGACAAACATCAGGGATCGAGTCGATGCCATGGAAGGCCAGAGGACTTCCAGTACCAATGCTGTTCCGCCCACATAAAATTTTCGTGATTCAGAGGTGTGCGCGTAGTGATTTTTCACTACCTCAGAGTTTTATCTTTAAACTATCACTAACAAGTCAAAAAATCCAAAATTCGCACGTTTTCCAACGGATATTTTATCTTTCAGGTGAGTCCTCGAATCTCAAGGGATGTGAAGCACACGGCGCATACCAGAGTGGGCCCAGTTAGTTGCGCGCGCTTTAACTACGGCTCTTGAGAGAAAAACTCTCAATTCAGAGAAAAATTAAGAGGATCCTGAAAGGGTCTGTGTGAGATTACATGGAGGAGTACACTATTGAGCAAGAAATGCAGCCTTCAGCGTCAAATTCACAAGCATGTAATCGTTAAAGTTAAGACACGCTAAACAATTTTACACTTTTGGAAAGAGAAAAGAAAGAGGATTTCGAATCTGCTCCTACTTTAGTGTATAATTGCCCCTGAAAGGAGCTATAGTCGTTGGAGTAGTGCTAATGCAGCGAAAAAGTGACTTTCGGCGGTACTCGGGCAAAAATCCTCAACGTGGCCATTTTTTAAATTGTGGACGTTTTTAGCAGTCCTAGTAACCGTTGAATAGAGCAAATTCTTCTAGTTTATGATGACGTATTTACTTTTCAGATTGGATGAGTTTGAACGGAGTTATGGCTTTGGAAAGCGTAAAAACTCGCACTCATCACAAATTTTCCTCGTTAATTTTGCAAAAATCCTCAACGTGGCCATTTTTTGAATACTGGACATATAAAGCTGCTTTAGCAACCATTTGATAGAGAAAATCTTCTAGTTTTGTCTGACATATTAACTTTTCGAATTTGATGAAAATGAAGCAAGTTATGGCTTCGGAAAGTGTAAAAACTCGTGCTCATCATGAATTTTCCTCGTTAATTGATCTAAATTTGTTATTTCTTATAAATTTTTGTAATTTCAATACTGGTTAGAAAGAGCTCTTCACAAAACTTCCAAATCTGCTTTCAGATTGAAAATTTCGTCATATTTGAAGAAAGTTATAATCATTTGAATATTTGTTCAAATTTCAATAGTAAATAAGCTGCTCCACGGTCAACGCCAAAGTCCAGTCAACACACAGGGTCAAGCGAGGCGTTGAGGAAAATTTGGAAATACCCCCCCCCCCCCACCACCCTCCGCCGGAGGCCGAAGTCCATGAAACAACCCTCTTCAAAAGCCGAACTATGAAAAGGTTGAAAAGCTTGTTTAATTCTCCCCCAAAACTGCTCATAAAAAAGCCCTGCTACCCCACCGTCCACAAAAAAATTCGTTTAAGAAGTACAAAAGTGAAAAAGTCAAAGAATAATCATTATTGATGAGTCCTACCAAACGAGCAAACGAGAAACAGACCAAAAACGACAAACTAGTCACTAAAAATGGCATACTATGACAACATCTCTTCTTTATTTATTTCCTCCACAAGACTTACCAAATTCTAGTACTACACAGATTATGGTTCTCAATTTACACGTCCCCCTTTCGCTCAAAGGAAGCCTTGTAAAAGCCTTCGCCAGCTGTGTGTTGACTGGACTTTGGCGTTGACCGTGGAGCAGCTTATTTACTATTGAAATTTGAACAAATATTCAAATGATTATAACTTTCTTCAAAGTTAACGAATTTTCAATCTGAAAGCAGATTTGGAAGTTTTGTGAAGAGCTTTCTAATCAGTATTGAAATTACAAAAAGTTATAAGAAATAACAAATTTAGGTCAATTAACGAGGAAAATTCGAGATGAGCACGAGTTTTTACACTTTCCGAAGCAACAACTTGCTTCATTTTCGTCAAATTCGAAAAGTTAATATGGCAGACAAAACTAGAAGATTTTCTCTACCAAACCATTGCTAAAGCAGCTCTATACGTCCAGTATTCAAAAAATGGCCACGTTGAGGATTTTTGCAAAATTAACGAGGAAAATTTGTGATGAGTGCGAGTTTTTTTACTTTCCTAAAGCCATAACTCCGTTCAAACTCATCCAATCCGAAAAGTAAATACGCCATCATAAACTAGAAGATTTGCTCTATCAAATGCTTACTAGAACTGCTCCAAACGTCCAGTATTAAAAAAACGGCTACGTTGAGGATTTTTGCACGAGTACCGCCGAAAGGTACTTTTTCGCTACATTGGCACTATTTCAACGGCTGTATATCCTTTTAAGGGCGATTATGTACTAAAGTAAGAGCAGATTTGGAATCACTGCTTTTCTCTTTCTAAGAAAAGTGATTGATTAGCGTTTCTCAACTTTAAAGGTTACATGTTTATAAATTTAACCCTGAAGAGTCCGTTAACGCAATGTTGAATGGTGTACACCTCCCTGTAAATGCGCACGGACACTTTCAGAATTCTCTCGATTGTTCCTGAATTGAGGTTGTTTGTCCAAGGAGCCGTAGTTGAAGCGCGCGCAACAACTAGACCCTTTCTCGGATGCGCCGTGTACCTCACATCCCTTCCGATTCGGGGTCTTACTTGAAAGATGAAATATCTCTTGGAAAGCGTGCGAAATTCAGATTCTTTAACTTGTGTGGTGATAAAACACTGAAGTAACTAAGAATTACCGGACGCCTCAGAATCACGAAAATTTTGTGTGGGTGAAATATCATTTTCATTGGAAATCCTCTGGCCTGGCATCGACTCATCCTTGATATTTGTCTTCCGACGGTGATGATCCCACTGCATCAAAATGGCTCGATCTCTTCCACCCAGCGGGCCAATACGACCCCCCCCCCCTGCGACGTGTCGAGGATTCCTCAACGCACGCTTGACCCTGGTTCAGCACGCAGGTGGCTAAGATTGGTTAAGCTTTTTCAGCGAAGGGGGACGAAGTTATACGATGTAAATTGATAACCGTACTCTGTGTAGTACTAAATTTTGGTAAGTCTTGTGAAGGAAATAAATAAAGAAGAGATGTTGTCATAGTATGCATTTTTAGTGAGTAGTTTGAGGTTTTCTGCTGCTTTTTTCGTTTGCTCGTTTGGTAGGACTCATCAATAATGATTATTTTTGACTTTTCACTTTTGTACTTTTTTAAAAGAATTTTCGGTTGACGGTGTGATAGCAGGGCTTTTTTTATGAACAGTTTTGGGGGAGAATTAGACAACCTTTCCATAGTTCGGCTTTTGAAGAGGGTCGTTTCATGGACTTCGGCCTCTGGCGGAGGGAGGGGGGGGGGTCGTATTTCCAAATTTTCCTCAACGCCTCGCTTGACCCTGCCTTTAACCATCACTCAGGAGCACGTTGGGAAATAGTACCTCAACAGTGATTTCGTCTTAGTTTGATTAAGCTCTTAGCGATTTTTTCTCCCGCGCACCTCCACCTGCCACT